GGTCCATTTATAATGTACTTCTCCCAAAGTGTACGAATTAAAATCTATGGAAATCAATCACCTGCTAGGAAAATTTCTTCGTAATAGGAATTGAGTAACAGAATTAGTTTTCTGCACATAAAAACAATACACCCTCCAAAAGCCAGGCACTATCATTTCCTGTTAAATCTTATGAATGCAGCGAGCTCTGTTGCCAACGTGTTTGCTGGTTTTGCTCTGCATCCAAGGATTCTTTCATTATTGATGTTATTTCTAAAAGAGTACCAGCCTTCTCCATTAAGACACTTCTGCTCAACTGAAAGCAACTGTAAAAAAATAAAGTGTTAATGTGAGGCAGATGTCTCCCCCTAGTCATTGCAATGGGCAAGTAGCCTCCGAAATATCACGATAGGGTTTCCAGCATAACCAGCCTACTGCAGCACACATGCTGAACACTCACTCTGCAATGTGTTATCGCTATATTTTTCCCCCTGTAACAGGGCAAATTACTGACAAAAAACATTTGCTTGGTGACTTCTAAGTAGTTGAGGAGTTTTTAGTGCTGGCCTGTGYGCAGAGAAGAAGGTTAAGGGTAATATCAGTGAAAGCAGTGTTATAAAAGATTGAGGAGCGAGATGTTCGAGCCGTGCCAGCTGTCGGCTTTCCAAGCGCAGTGTTATCCTAAGGACCGAGCACAAGGTTAACCAGACACACCGGCCTGGCAGGAGACGCTGCTCTTCTGTGAATGAAGCGGTCTTTGATGTCCTGATGACTTTCTCTGGGACGTGGAAATTTCCCTCCATTCTTTACCCCTTTTCCTGGCAGCCCTCGTGGCTGACAGGCAGAGATAAACTCYGTGTGGGTCCGAGGACTGCGTCTGCTGCTGGAGCTCGGGCAGAGCTGCACGGGCAGATGCTCCTCAGCTGAGGGGAGTTTTTTCTGTCATGCCCAAGCTCCTGCTGGACCTGGGTGCAATGGGAGAGGGATGAGCAGGCTGAAGTAATTCCTCAAGCAAAGCAGGAATACCCCAKGGCCTGATGAAGGGGAGCTCAGAGAAGCAGAGCAGCAGTGGTGGGCTGCAGACAGCACGAGGTTGYGAGAGGGAAGACCTGGGCTTGGGCCTGCCTGTCCCGTGGTGAGGAGGAGATGGGGACTCGCTCTGCAGTGCTCTGTGCAGACCCCGGTCAAGGTCTCCTGCTTCTGCCTTGTGCACCAAGATCCTGCGGGGAGGRGTTAGACTCGTGGCTTCAAATTTCTTCTCTAAGGATTTTGCTTTCCACGGTATGCAAGCTTTGAAATGCCTGAAGGAGGAGGAAGTGTGTGTGGAAGTTAGGTCCTGATGAGTTCCGAATTTTAAACACGGGCTTTTAACTCTTCTTTTTTTTATTACTTTTACCAGTCATTTGATTTTTATTTATGGTTTTGTTTGTTTGTTTTTTAAACCACAAAACCTTTTCAAGGTTTCTGCCCCTTACTTAGTAACTTGTAGTTTCCTGCCCCACAGAGGCTGCAGCTCAGTGGGAGAAGACAATTTAAGTCACAGCCCAGGGGATATTTCAGTATTTGGCATAACCAGAGCCTCTGGTACAACTGCCTCCTGGGATAATGTGAATTTGCTAATCCTTCTCCCAAAATCTCAATGTTAGCTCGGTTTCTTCTCRCTGAAGTCGATGAAACTGCCATTGGCCTCAGCGCGGCCGCTGCTGCAGAGCTCGCCCCGCGTGTCCCCGTGCGTGTCCCGCCTGCAAGCGCTGCGAGAACAGCTACCTCCAGCACACACATTCTGAAGTGTGAGCTTCATCCCTGCTGTAAAATTACATCTATTTTTAAAAAATAATTCTGCAATTTGTAAGCAGAGATTACAGCACTAATTTAGCAACCATGTAACAATTTAAATTGGACCAGAAAAGAGAAACTATAATTTAAAGATTTTTTTTATGATACAAGTTTTCTTCTTTTTAAAGTAAAAAGCCCTTTATTCTTGTTTTTGTCAAGCAACGTATTGAATTTGAGAGTAATTTATGGAAAGTGCTGCCAGCATGGTATTGCGAGTGCTCCACAATTTGAATTTAAACTGCTCAATGGGATCATTAAGACTATTATGCCTGCTTTCCAAAGAGTTTGAATTCAAAATGACAACTGGAACAAAAATATAAAATAAACTAAAGAGAAGTCACGCACTCCTTATGCAGTGGAATTTTTCTGCCCTCGAAATATTTCATTGAGATCAATGTTCTTCCTCAATCCTCTCCTTGTAAAAAAGCTGGTGCTGCTGGTTTTAGTGCTCCCGTGTGAGTCATCGGCAGCGGGACTTGAACCTGTGACCTGTGGATCTAAAAG